GGGCTGCCTGGTCCCGGCTTCCTGTTTGGATGGAGCCCTGACCCTCTGGGGGCACAGAGGAGGACACGGCATTGCTGGGATTCCTGACTCTGCTGGGATTCCTGACTCTGCCGCCCCGGCCGCTCTCCTGAGAGCAGAGCAGAGCAAGGGGCTGTGGGCAGAACCAGGGGTGCCTGTTGAGCCCAAATTTGCTCCCTTTTGTGGATCTGGATGGAGAGGGACTTTTTACAAGGAGCTGGTGTTGCAGGGCAGGGATGCAATCCCCATCCTCCTGCTGCTGAAGGGCTGGTGGCAGCTTGGCCATCCTCACAGTGCTGTCTGGAGGGAGGATTTCTGTCCAGGAGCAGCAGTATATTGGAGAATTCCTGGGATTCTTGCAGCTTGGGGGCGAGAAGGGAAGGGGAGGTGCTGAGCTGACTGCTTATGCCTTCCTGCTTTTCCTGCCTGCAGTGTCTGGACTTGTTGGGGGCACAGCCCCTGTCTTGCCCTGTGCCTTAGTGAAAATCCCTGAGCCTGAAAGTAATCAGTGGAATGGGCCATTGACCATGCCAAGGATGTACTTGGACAGCAATTTCATGAGCCTTTGCTGCAGCTTTCCTCTGGAGCCTACATCACCTGGCTCTCCTGCACGGCACCAGTGGCTGTATCAATACTTATAAATACAATAGGCCAGGGCTTGTTTTCCTGGCAAGCAGCTGGCATGTCCCAGGTTGACCAATAATTAAATGTTCATTAGAACTGCAGCCAGCCAGTCCCGTTGGTGTGAGCCCGGGGACCTTCTGTGCCCAGGCTCTCCTTGGAAGCAGCAGCCCAGAGGCCACAGTGCTCTTCTGCTCTGCACTGGCCATGGGCAAAGCTTGAGGAATTCAGATGGGAGCTCATGAGAGTGGTCTGGGATGGATGATACATCTGCCAGCTACCCAAGTGGGTGTTATGGTACTAGAGAGCCAGAGCTCAACTGATGCATCTTCCCAACCATATGGTCTATGAGCTGTTGAAGATTTAAGTTTAAAGTGCCTGAGCAAGGTGCAAGACATCTTCTCTTTTTTTTTTTTTCAGAATGGCTGAGCACATGGAGCCTTAAATGGCAATTAAAACTGTATATTGTTTATGCTTTCATGGTGTAAATACATGCAGGTGCTTTCCTCTGTGCTCCTGGCATGTCTCCAGTGCAGCCAGTGCTACCTGGCTACTGGTGCTGTTGTTCTAGACAATTCGGAATCATCCTTTCTTTGCTACTTGCATTGCTGAGTGTGGCTTTAGTCCAGGTTTTCTTTGGTGCCAGAAGGGATGGAATTCTATATAAGCACCTCTTAAAAGCTGCTTCTGTGGAAGTCTTCTGCAAGCCTGTTTCTGGGAAGTGTCCAGCTGAGTTTTGCAGGCTCCGAACAAGAAGGCTTTTCAGGCATTTTAAAACCTTGCTCCTCTACACCTCCTACTCAGTCAGGTACATCTGATTTTGTGGGGCTTCTGCATCTTTGCATAGCTGAGCTCTATTTTAGCAAATTGGCAAAACTGCTGAATTTCAACAAGCTCTTTTAAAGCAAAATTTCGCATCCTCTGCAAACCACACGCGCAGTCGGACTGGTGTGAAAACAGAAGCATTTGGCCAGTTACTTGTGCAGAGCGCCTGCTGTAATTTGGAGCTCATTTAATTAAAATATTTCTGAGATAACCCCTGTCCCTGAGTTTTTCAAAGCATGAGGTCATTTACGATGAGGTAGTCGGCTGCTTCTTTTTGCCATGCGAGAAACAGCAGGGCCGTGGCTGTAAAACGGAGCAGGATTTGCAAGCTGCTGGCAGGGATGTGGGCAGGGGGCTGGCCAGGAGATGCTCAGCCTTTGGCCACCAGAGGAGCACAGCCTGCTCTTTGCAAAGTCACGGCACTCGACGCGAGGTGAATTGTCAGGGAGCTAATGATTTGACTGGATTATCCGAGGCGAACAAGATTACGCGCTATTAGATCTGGGAGGAACCGAAGGGATATTTGTGAAAATTACAACAGCTCTTTCAGTGCTCGGACAATCACAGTGAGGAGGGTGAATGTTTCCCGGCACGTTTATTGTATTTCTCCCAGTATCATCAGTGCCACTTAGCTGCACAATAAAATAATGGCTAGCCAGCATTGCTACTAACATGCTACCTACTTGATTGCACCAAACAGGTCAGGATCGCGTCTTGCAGTTCGTATTTAATGATTAAACTGGTTGAATTAGTACCCAGATTCACTGGAGCAGCCTTTTGAGCAAGACTGCCCATAGGGGA